GCGGGTTCGTCTATGTTTCGGACCGATGTTCAAGTTTTTTTTTTTCTTTCTCTTTTGAGTTCAATGATGTTCTTTGTTGGGATTTTGCTACCAATTAAAGAATTTCTTTGAGGACCGAATTATGAAATAGAATTACAAAATAATATTGGCTTGAAGGATCTCTTGTTTCGTATGTTGAAATAGAATTACAACATAATATTGGTTGTGAAGGCATGGTCAGCCCAAGAGCAGGACAAACAAGGCTATTGTAGCAAGTATAGGACAGGGCAACACATTTTTTTCAACTATTACGGGTACATGTAACTTGGAACAAAATTTTGTCCACAAAAGTAGTCCAGTAAGAAGGGTGCGATCTGAAACGTGAAATTAGAAAGAAGGTGGCAATAACGGCTAAAAAAGCACACGCCTAAGAAGACGAGGAGATTGGCTGACTGGGAAAGAATTACCGAGGAGTCCCTGAGATTTTTTGAAGAGTGGGTATTCGAAGCTTCTCGTGTATTCATTTGCGGATTTGAAGATCGGTATTACTTCGAGGGGGAGTTGGCCTTGACCGCGCAAGCTCGTTGGATATTGAAGTCGGGACATCTAATCCTAACTTTGATGGGGAGAATGTTAGGGTGCAAAGTCACGCTCGGATGTAATTTGTGCTTACCCTCTTGTATTGTGTAATGAGTTTTCTTTCAATTTCCTTTTCTACACGAATCTTCTCTTCTTCAGTTGGATCAGTGATAATACCCTTCCCTTTTTGCTTCCATTTCTTTCTTTGAAGGAGGTGGCTTCGAACTTGATCCACCAGCAGATGAAACAATAACAATACCTTTGGTTAAAGGCTTCGAAGTCATGGTAGTTAAGGTAGTTGACATTGAAGTTGGAAGCAAAGTAGGAATTTGTGTGCTCATAACCTTCCCTACAACCTTTCCTTGAGAATGATCTTTTGATGAACCAATATCAACACCTTTCAGAACACTAGAATCACCAACCTTTTCTCCCCCTTGCAACCCTGTTTTAATAGGTGAGACATCAAAAGGCATCAAATTTACAAACTTCATTAGAGGAGCTAGATTAGCTTTCATGTTTGACTCCAACGAAGAAAACATTTGTGACAAGGATTCTTGAGAAACCAAAGATGAAGGAGAAACATCAAGTTTCGAAATTAACTCCTTCACATTCCCCAATATTTCTTCTAATTTAACAAAATGCTTTGATTCAGACTCAAACTTCAAATCGACTTTGTTGATAAGTAAATTATAGAACTCAACAATCGTCGTAACAACATCAGCAACTATATCAACCTTAGTATGAAGATTGGAATAGTTCTGATCAACGTTAGCAACCTCCTTTGTCATCTCAGATGGAAGTTCTTCAATCTTGAAATTAATATCCTCCTGCACTCTCTTAACTGCTTCGACAAAGAGAAGATGTCTTTCCTTATCAATTGCCCTCAAATCTTTAACCTCATGAGTAAAAGAATTAAATTGTCGCTTTAAACGCTCTTCATTCTTCGTATCAATCTGATCCATGATGGTTTTTAAATGATGCTCTTTGGCTTTTAACAAATCATCGACTTCAATGTTAGACACAGTGTTTCGACTTCCTGTATCAGCTTGAACTTGAAGCAAAGAATTTAACTTTCGATTCAAGATTTTAAATTGTTTTCCTGAAATCAACATGTGATTATGAATATTTTCTACCTTAGGATCGAACTGAATATCGCTAAAGGGAACCATATAATCATCATCATCCTGTTCAACCTCTGACGTAGACTTGAGCTTCGTGAGTCGACATCCCATCACCCATGTTGACATTTGTGTCCATATTAGATATGTCCACAGCGATGCCTAAAGTTTGTGCCTCCTCCATAATGTACTTGGCAAACAAAACTTCGGGTGATATGACCTTTGTATGCTCAAGGATGGATAAATGAGAAGGATCACCCAGATTAGTGGCTGCATCCACATTAGATGTATTCACATTGCCACCAGGACTTCCAGTCGCCTCGAGATTCAACTTGGCAGGAGAATCCATTTAAGGTGATGCAAAGCCCAGGTCTTCAATTCGAATGAGAGACGGAGTACCCTCGTCTTCAAGATCAGTCTCAACCACCACTTCATCAAGTGACTCTTCCAACTTCTTTTGCTTCTTTTTGATCTTCTTTACCAAATCACGAGCTCTTCGTTTCTTTGAAGCCGGAGAAACAGGAGTAGGGATTTCACAAATAATCACCCTTTCGATTAATCTGGGGATTTCGAATATTTTGAATCTTGGATGCAAAATACCCCTTAGACGAAGAAATATTTTGCACAGGAACATCTTCAATAATAGGCCTCGGATCTGGTGAATGTCGAGGTCTATGGCAAGCTTCTTCATACGCTTTAAAATAGCAGTCTTCGAAGGTACCACCTCCGTTTGAACATCCTGTACAATGGGTTCTTGAACATGCTCAAGAATAGGCTTTGAACCCTCTTTCTCAACAACCTCAAGAACAGCTTTAGGTTTTTCAACCTTAGAAGATTTCTTAGGACTTTTGCCACGTTTGGAAGTTCGTGCAATACCTTTTGGTAGCAAAACACCTGTTTCAACAGTAGGATTGATGGATTGAAGATAAGCCACAAGAATAGGGTTTGTTAGATCAACCTTGCAAAGCATCGCATCTGGAATCCTTGCAACATTGGGAAATACCTCTGAATCATCTTCAACATTCTTTGGATGTTGATAAATCCCAAACTCAACTGTGGGAACATCAGTAGGAACCAAAATACATTCCTTCTCATACACATATTGGAGAATTAGACTTCAATATCTTGCACACGAAACTCCATTACCGATATTTGTGTGTGAGATACTAACACCAAATTCCTCCCATAGATGAGTAGCATAATCAACCTGCAAATCATAATACATACCAGCAAGCATGGCGTAAATTTTAAGTATGCCTTTATCCAAACCCACACTCTTTCCTATCAAACATCGAAGAAAGATTCCAAAGAGGAAATTCCACACACATGGTAAAGAAGATTTCTTGAATTGACTGAGTTTAGTGAGTACAGTTTGATGACCCATCTCATTAAACATATCAAGCATTTATTCATTAGTAACCCCATAGAAAGGGACAATATTGGGAATGTTCAAGATTTTAGCAAACTTGTTCTTTATGGGCTTGTATTTCTTATCATTGGTTAACTGAAAAGTAACCACCTTAGACGTTTTGTTGAACACGGCAGTAGAATCGGCCAACGATAACCAGGTCATTGGAATTGAGAAGGAAGTCGTCATCACAGTAGATAGAACTGAGTGATTGAGAGACACAATCAACATTTGCAGTTCTTCAGGGTATTTCAAGAAATCAGGTTGAACCCAATAGTTGGATCCTTGAATCTTCAACAATGGTTGATATGAAGCTTTGTAACGCCCGTAGATACGGGCTAGTTAATTTTAAGGCAATAAGTGTTGAAAATGACTTTTTGACAAAAGGTTATTTAGAATAAATAATCTTAACCAAGTTTTAGAATATGTTACAAGGTTTCCGTACATATAAAGAACGCCGAAATCCGAGTTATAACGAAGAAGTTATGACCCGTTGAAGTTTCGCGACGGAACCGACACGATACCGGGAAACATAAATAGTGAATTTACGATAGAGTGAGATTTAGCCTTAACGATCTAAACAAAATTCGTAGAATGTGTTAAACTAAGAACATCGATAAAAAGAACGCCCAAATCTGACTTCGTATGAAGAAGTTACGATTTTTCGAAGTTTCGGATTAGCAGTGTACAGCCCGAAATTCGAATGTTAGATCGAGCGGTTTTTAGCCGACACGACCTAAAAGAGAATCAAATATCTCGATAATAGTAGTGTAACGAGAAAAAGATGGGCGAAAACGGATGTCGGATGAAGAAGTTATGAGGATTTAACGGACCAATCCTGTGCCGGTCTGTTAATAATGTAAAATTTAAAATCTAGTCAAAATTAGCCAACGAAGTCTAAACGAAAGTTATAGAGTACGTTCCCACCTTCGCGTGGATATAAAGAACATCAAAAACGAAGCTCGTATGCGAAAGTTATGATTTTTAGAAGTTAAGTGTGCAATTTGCGAAGCTGCGATGACGTGGCACAATCCTGACCTTCCCTTTCCCCCCACGGTCTCGCATCCGATGAGGACACGCCTCCCTTCGCATTACGCCCCGCGTACGAGGTCCGATACGCCCCGCGTACCTCCGACCTTATCCTTCCGAGATGAGTGCGAGACAGTTGACTTCGGCTGGCATCCATACCCGAGGAGTACGCCCAGCGTACCCTCGGTACGCCCAACGTAAGTCCAAGGCTTCGCGCCTATAAATAGCTGCGAGGGTCTCCGCATTTTCCACACCAATTCTCATTCTCTCTCTCTAGTTTCTTTCTCTCTCTAAGGTTCCAAACCATCCCTAAAGTCTAGGTGAACCCCTAGCACCCTAAGGAAGCTCCGAGGCTCCCGGAATCCCGAGAAAAAGAGTCTTTCGGTTTCGAAACGCTGCTCCAAATAAAGTTCCGGTTTTCGATAAAATTCGCTATAAGTGAGCTACGCTTACGCAATTTTTAATATAGCTTTCGAATAATTATAGGAATGTTATTAGGTTCTTAAAATAATTATTTGGGCTATTATTATGAGTTATATTGAGTGTTATTAACGTTTATATAATAATAATAATAATAATCAGACTAATTAATTTGTTGCGGTTATCGTTAGACTAAACCCTAGTGGTAATGGTACTAGGTTTTATCGAAGGAAATTGTTTTGAGAGTATCGAAGCGCTGTCCGAGTGCTGAGTCACCACCTTTCAGGTGAGTGCATAGTCCCTTTCATCTTACACATAGATATGAAGTATTTTAATATAAATTACGTGTTGTGTGTGCATATTGTCTGAATACTTGCTGTCTATGTTGGGTGAAAGATTTTTATACATGTTTTAAATGATTTAAACTGTATATGTATTTTATATCTACAAAATGTGTTGGGTAAAACATGAGTAGATGAAATAGTTGTTTTGTGATAACACGATGGGAGACATTAATGTTGTCAGTGATCTAGTCATCTAGTGGAGTATAGATGATGACCATGGGCGATACTAGACGGTCCGGTGGAACACTAGTCAGCTCGTAACCTGTAGGTTTTTTGAACTAGGTGCTCATTAGGTATTTTGAACTGAGTGTGTTCATTATGTATCTTTGAACTGAGTGTGTTCACTAGGTATTTTGAACTAAGTGTGTTCACTAGTTACTTTTGAACTAAGTGTTTACCAGATGTTTCGGACTACGTGTTCACCAGATATATTCTATAAGCCTTGGTAATGATGAACTTCATGTCGATTCCTTTGGAATAAATAAACGAGGAATAGCTGATTCTTCGGGTAGATCCTTAAGACTAAAGATAATGGGGATGGGTAATTGGGTTGATTGTTTGATTGTTTAAACATAATAATTATATTATTGTGGGTTGAAAACCTTATTTACTCACCAGGTTTCCCAACCTGACCCACTCAATTTATTTATATCACAGGTGTTGATATGAAGTCACATTACACTGAGAGATTTAAAGAAATGTAGATCACTAGAATAAATAAATGTAAGTTCTGTTTATGCTTATGTTCTGTATTAATGATGAAATCCCAAACGTTTTGAAATGAATAAAATACGTTTCTTCGAAAATGTTTTAATAACGTATTTATCGTATTTTTCTGGGAACAAATTCCGCAACATTTTTATTAAAAGAAGAACTCTGTTTTTTATAAAGCATAAACAAAATCGGTCTTTTCTGGCCGTGAAAATGGGGATGTCACAAGCTTCATCTGTGGTTTGAGAAGGATCAACTGGAACATTGGTGGTCGCCATTTTTAGGGTTTGAAGGTTAAAGAGAACAGATAAGTATAAGTAGAGAGGATTTGGGGAAAATCTTTAGCATGATCGCGTAAAGTTTGAACAAGATAACCGCAAAATCCTTTTATACTGTAACCCCAAGTTTGAATTTGAAGTGGTTAGCAATAAATTCATGCCACGTGTATCCTTAAAAAACAGACTTGCAGCCGTAAAAATAGCCACGTCTGAAAAATAATGAGCACTTTTCCTAGAAAATTGTGAAATAACCCAACTGTCGCATCAATCAATCGCTTCGCTTGTCCCAAGAGGATAAGACCATCACTAAACCCTTCGTTTCGAGCCTGGGCTCATTCGCTTTTGGGTTTAAAAATGAAATCATATCCAGACGTTCGAAATCTAGGTTTGAGTTGGTAATACCCAAGAGCTCGAGGATTTTTGTGCTATTATGTGCCAACGAAATAGAGGGAACCAAAATAACAAAAATGTGCGGATAGT